AAAAAAAAAAAAAAAAATCACTGAATCTGAACACAACTGCTCACAACAATGATAACTGGGACACAAATGCCCACTTTCCAAAAGATAATTCTGGTTTTTGGGGATCCCCCCTCGGTTTTGGGCTCTGATTATTTATTTGATTGTTTGTTTGTTTGTTTTCGAGTCAGAGTTTCACTATGTTACCCAGGCTGGAGTGCAGTGGTATGCTCATAGCCACAGCAGCCTTGACCTGCTGGGCTCAGGTGATCCGCCTCAGCCTTCCGTAGCTGGAACTACAGGCACATGCCACCACATCCTGCTAATTTTTGATTTATGATAGAGATGAGGTCTTGCCAAGTTGCCCAGGCTGGTCTGGAACCCGTAGGCTCAGGCAATCCTCTCACCTTGGCCTCCCAAAGTGCTGGGATTATAGGTGTGAATCATTGTGCCTATGATCATTCTTTTTTTTTTGAGTTGGAGTCTCACTCTGTGCCCAGACTGGAATGCAGTGGCCGCTCCCGGCCACCGCAGCCTCGACCTGCTGGGCTCTGGCGATCCTTCTGCCTCAGCCTTCCAAGTAGCTGGAACTACAGGCGTGCGCTACCACGCCCGGCTGATTTTTTGATTTATTGTGGAGATGAGGTCTCACCAAGTTGCCCAGGCGGGTCTCGAACCCGCGGGCTCAGGCAATCCACTCACCTCAGCCTCCCAAGGCGCGGGATTACAGGCTGAGCCACCGAGCCCGGCTGCCTATAATCATTTTAAGCAGATTCATCACTAAATCTCACGTTCCACGGGACGCCATCACATTGCCAACCAAAGTCACCCGTGATATCCTATTCGACCCCTAGGGGGCAGCACGACCCTACCCGAGACTCAGGGGCTAATTGTTTTTTTTTTTTTTTTTTTTTAGTTGGATTCTGTTGCCCAGTCTGGAGTGCAGTGGCATGGCATGCTCACTGTCACTGCCGCCTCGACCTGCTGGGCTCAGGTGATACTTCCGCCTCAGCCTCCCAAGGAGCTGGAACTACAGGCGTGTGCCACCATGCCCGGCTGGTTTTTTTTAATCTATTGTAGAGACAAAGTCTCGCCATGTTGCTCAGGTTGGTCTGAAACCCCTGGCTCAGGTAATTCTCTCACCTCCGCCTCCCAAAGTGCTGGGATTACAGGTGTGAGCCACCACACCCAGTTTATATGTCGTAGACTTGGATTTGAGACATTCCTAGCAGGTTTCGAGGGTCTTCCTTGCCAGCAGGCCCAGCTGGTGATCCAGAGAAAGCCAGTGACCAAGTGGGTCTGGCCCCATCTACAGGGTCTGCCACCTGTGACTGCTGATCAAGAATTCTGGCCTTACTCCAGGTGTGGTGTCTACCACCTGTGTTCCTAGCATTTTTGGAGGCTGAGGTGAAAGGATTGCCTGAACCCAGGGATTCAAGATTAGCCTGGGCAACTTGGTGAGAATTCGTCTCTACAATAACTCAAAAAATCAGCCAGGTGTGGTGGCATGCACCTGTCGTTCCAGCTACTTGGAAGGCTGAGATGGAAGGATCGCCCTAGCTCAGCATGTCGAGGCTGTGGTGGCCATGAGCGTGGCATTGTACTCCAGCCTGGGTGACAGAGTTAGACTCCAACTCAAAAAAAAAAAAAAAAAAAATTAGCCGGGCTTGGTGGCTCAGCCTGTAATCCCGCGCCTTTGAGAGACTGAGGTGAGTGGATTGCCTGAGCCCGCAGGTTCGAGACCTGCCTGGGCTGCGAGACCTCATCTCTACAATAAATCAAAAATCAGCTGGGCGTGGTGGCGCATGCCTGTAATTCTGGCTACTTGGAAGGCTGAGGCAGAAGGATCGCCGGAGCCCAGCAGGTCGAAGCTGCGGTGGCCGGGAGCGGCCACTGCACTCCAGTCTGGGCGACAGAGTGAGACTCCAACTCAAAAAAAAATAATAATAATTACAGAAAAGTTGCATTGGCATTTGCGGTATATCTCGTTCTCTACACAGACCAGAGCACACATGCGCAGACACACATTGTTTTTTGTTGTTGTTTTTTTTTTTTTTTTTGCTGAACCATTTGCAAACTGATTGTAGCTCTCATGTTATTTCACACCTAAATCCTTCCGTGTGCATTCTCTAAAAATAAACTCCTCCACAGCGACAATACTGTTATCGCCCCTGGATAATTAACAATTCCATAGTATCATCTAATACACAGTCCATATTTCAGTTTCCCAATTGTCTCAATTTTTTTTCTTTTTTTGAGTTGGAGTCTCACTCTGTCACCCAGACTGGAATGCAGTGGCCGCTCCCGGCCACCGCAGCCTCGACCTGCTGGGCCCCGGTGATCCTTCTGCCTCAGACTTCCGAGTAGCCAGAATTACAGGCGTGTGCTACCACGCCCGGCTGATTTTTTGATTTATTGTAGAGATGAGGTCTCGCTGCCCAGGCGGGTCTCGAACCCGCGGGCTCAGGCAATCCACTCACCTCAGCCTCCCAAAGGCGCAGGGTGACAGGCTGAGCCGCCGAGCCCGGCTGATGCCTATCTTGTTATCATCTTTCATGACACTGAAATTTTGACTCTCAGTCTGGGCTTGTGGGATGTTTCCTTGAGATTAGATCCTGATGGTGTCCATGAGGATGATCACCGAAGTGGTACTGTGTGCATCCCTTTGCACCCCACCAGGAGGTACAGAGCATCCTTTTGCCCCAATATTGGTGCTGCTGAGCCTGGTCACCTGGTTAAGGTGATGCTGACTAGATCTTTTCACTGTCACAGTGCCTTTCTTATGTCTAGTAAATTACCTGTAGGTGATACTTGGAGACTGTGTGCATCCAATTTTTCTTTTTATTTTTTTGTTTTGAGTCGGAGTCTCACTCTGTCTCCTACGCTGGAGTGCAGTGGCCGCTGCCAACCACCACAGCCTCGACCTGCTGGGCTCCGGCGATCCTTCTGCCTCAGTCTTCTAGGTAGCTGGAAATACAGGTGCACGCTACTATGCCTGGCTAATTTTTGATTTATTGTAGAGACGAAGACTCACCAAGTTGCCTGGGCGGGTCTCGAACCCGCGGGCTCAGGCAGTCCTCTTGCCTCGGCCTCCCAACGTGCTGGGATTACAGGCTGAGCCACCAAGCCCGGCTGCATCCAGTTTTTAAAAAGTCTGGGCTGGGTGTGGTGTCTCATGCCTATAATGCCAGCACTTTAGGAGGCTGAGGTGGAAGGATTGTTGAGCCCAGGAGTTTGAGACCAGCCTGGGCAACATAGAAAGACCCTGTTTCTACAAAAAAGAAAAAGAATCAGCCAGGTGTGGTGGTATATACCTGTAGTCTACTTAGGAGGCTGAGTCTGGGGAACGCTTGAGCCTTGGAGTTTGAGGCTACAGTGAGCCAGGAGCATGCCACTGCACTCTAGTCTGGGTGACAGTGAGAGCCTGCCTCAAGAAAAAAAATTCTGGGCCGGGCTCAGTGGCTCAGCTTGTAATCCCAGCACTTTGGGAGGTCGAGGTGAGTGGATTGCCTGAGCCCATGGGTTTGAGACCCACCTGGGCAACTTGGCAAGACCTCGTCTCTACAATAAATCAAAACTTAGCCGGGTG